TGAGGCGCCTACGTTCTAAATGGGGGCTGAGATTCTCTGAAGTGAAGTATAAACCAATAATAATAATAATTAGAAAATAAAATTGGGTATAGTAAAACGTATTATTATCCGAAAATAAATGATCCACGTAAGAGAGTACTATGCACGAGAGAATAAAAAACAGGTCAAGGAGGAAAAACGAAAAATAATAGTTCTTGAAATTCCGAAAGCAAAGTATAATAGAAACTTAAGCTGCTAACCAAAATCGGCATTCGGTGGCAATGGACGTGGTGTGACAAATCCTCGAAACTGATTCAGCTTTCCCGTAGGAGCCCATGATGGCTCTTCAGTCGTTCGTGCGGCTAAAATGAATGAATTATAATATTGAAAATAGTTCTAGAAAAAATGAAATAGTATGGAAATACCATTCATTAATTATAATTATAAAGGCAGAGATTACGTAGTGGTAAGTGGCGCATTACCACGAACGCATGGTCACTAGTTTAAATCCCCGATCGATATCAGCCCTGGACAACCAAGCCCCCCATACCTCAGCAGTCGGTTAACTGGTACCAGACTTGTCTGGGAGGATAAAAGCACTCAATTGTACATCGGCATGCCACAGCAAGTTATTGTATAGGCCACATACGCATTCAATACGCACTACAATTCTGAATGGAACTCGAATGCTGGGCGCATTCCTCAGATGCGATTGATAAATAACGCCCGAAGACTTAATTTTCTATCTCTCCAAATTCCCAAACTAACTGCAAGGAACCTCACTGGAGATAGGCCACATACGCATTCAATACGCACTACAATTCTGAATGGAACTCGAATGCTGGGCGCATTCCTCAGATGCGATTGATAAATAACGCCCGAAGACTTAATTTTCTATCTCTCCTAATTAACTGAAATGAACCTCACTGGAGGCTAGATCGAAAAACGGAAGACATCGTGGAATCGATTCCAGGCCTAAGTGTTTGGCTATTTCGGATCTTGCTATCAGGGTGTTCGGAAAATCGTAGCTACTTACACTTCTGTCCTCTCCCCACCCTGCCCATCTTGAAGCTTCCCTATACGGGGAAACTCAGTCCTTGTTCCTACTAAGGAAATGGCCGGATACTATCGGGCTTCCACTATCTCCACCGTCATCTGATGGTTGCGATATGATCATCTATTAGCGGCTTCGATGACAGTAAAAGTTTTTCTCTATCTACAGTCCGGAAGCATCCCGACAGTAAACTGATGTGAAACGGAAAAATAGAGCAAAGCTGGAACAATATATAGTCCATGAAGGTCAGAGACGCAGAATGCCCTTTCGCTCTCTGGTTCTAGTCATCAGAAAAAATGCTTTCTGTAGTGAGCTAATAGGAGAATTTCTAACTCTAGCTTCCTGAGTGGAATTAATTTGATCAATACGATCCGTGGTAATCCAGAAACTTGTCATGTAATTCTAAACACTTGTAAGGTCCATGAGGAAGGCTCTTCTAGCTATCCCAAGTAATGCCTCCCCATAGGTTTTGGTTACGGTAAAACCCCTATTAACCACATAAATCCACAAATTACGGTGCCACTTGAGTTACAGTGTTCCCAGTGAAATGAAGCATTTTCCATGTTGTTTCAAAATGAGTGTTTTCAATTGCTAATGTTAACGGCGTTGGCCATAAAGGCGCGCTGTTTCAGGCTTACAATGGCTATAAGATCATTTCCCCGTATCCTGTCTTTTTCAAGCCAGTTCAGCGTTTCATACTAGTATGGAAGCTCGTATAGTAGCCAGTAATATCAGGCTTCTGGAAATGGACTAGCAGCTAAGGAAGGTTTTCGATTCGCCTTTGCACGAACGACTATTTGCTGAGGTCGCCCGCCGTTCCGAGCCATTGACGTCAATTCACATGGCTTTCTTATTTACCTTAGAGAGAATTGCTGTATTTCTTTGAATCAGATAGGATTTTTATAGTATATACAGCAGGGTACAAGAGAATCTGTACAGAAAAAGCCCTCAACAAAAGTCAATCCCATTCCCGAAGGCGTCACC